AGCAAAGGAAAGCAAAGCAAAGCAAAGCAAAGCAAAGCAAAGCAAAGCAAAGCAAAGGAAAAGAAAAAGGAAGCATTATTGCTTGCGTGACCAGAACCCTCTTTTTCTTTTCGTTCCCCAAGGTACCCCAGTGGGATATATAAATAAATGTTCTTTACGTGAACGGGCCGACCTATCATATCAAACCAGACTTTCCGGTCATCGGAGGTTGCGTGCAATCCCAAATCACTGCTCCCAAATCACTGCTCCCAAACCGCAGCAAATGCAAGCACCAGTCAACTGTGATAGTAAATGTTATCAATAATTAACAGTCAGTAACTAAGCATTCTGGAATCAGAACTATAGCTAACAGATGTGAGCAATTTGTCAGAAATTTGATATAGATAGAAGAAAAACATCTACTTAATCGGTAAGGGAAAAGTTTAAAATGAAACATTTTTTGACTTCAATAGCAGGTTATCTAGGTTCTTACCACAGAGAAGACTCATTACTGGACATTATATATGTATATCAACCACCATGTAGGTTCTTGAAGTACATAGTGAATAGATATGTTTGTTTTTAACATAGTTAATAGTTAATAACTAAGTTTTCAAGTGTTATAGTCGAATATTTTTTATGTTTTCTGAGTTGGGAGATAATGTGTTGTCATGAGAAGTAGTTGTTTCTTATTTCCGATTTCATTAACATTTAACGAGTCCAATACAAGTGCAGCTATAATCCTCTCAAAGAACAAACGGCTGTTTTCCAAAATAATCCTTATCCAACATTGCACAAGAAAGAAAAAAATCATTTCTTAGTTAAGCTTTTAACGCAATGGAATCTTTTTTCTTCCCCGGGGGCATTCGGCTTGGCAAGCCCTTCCCACAAGCTAAAATTAAACATATTCTACTGTGATAGTTATGATAAAGCAAAACGTATCACAAGTCGAACAGGAAAGAGCTACCAGTAAGATTAATATCTGTGCAAAAACAACACCTTAGCTCAGCAAGAAGTTTCGCTTGCTTCCAGCCGTGGTTGACCCCAGCAACAATTCAGTGAATTATACTAGTAAGTCTGTATTCCTTGTTCTTTAGAACCTGCTTGGGTTAGTTTAGATAAAAATTTTTCAGCTCTGTTACTAGACGTAAGAGAAGCTGTTATCTTCCAATGCGGTAGCAGAATCTTTAGATCGATCAAAGTTTCAACTTTGCTTAAAAAGATCGATCCAAAGAAAAACGAAATATGCTTGCTCAAAGACCCGGATTAAGTCATTGACAAATGAGAGAATGCGGCAACGTTAAAAACAAGACAAAAAAGACTATTTTTGTCCAATTTAAACAAGCTTAATCTGTTTAGATTTTGAAAAATTTAGACACATTGAAGCCACGACTTTCAAGAAAGGTAGAAAGGACATTTAATCATTCTTTTCGCTCAAAGTCGAGGGGAAAAACATATTTTGATAATAACACTCATTCATAATTAATTTCCAGACAAGAAGGGCCACCTGAAAGCATCTTAGTCAAAGCAGGTTTCGCTGATCAGTACTTCATTAGTACTTCATTTGCGCTGCCTTTTCTCTTTGATCATTATTAATTACAAGCGACTGTACTCCAGACCGGTCTTCTTCAAGGTTTCTAGGTGCGCTTCCTTAGTCTATTGTCAATGATCTCAACAAGAAGTAATAGCCGACTTCCCTCGAGCGATTTAGTTGCTAAGTTTATTTTTTATTTTTTAGGTAATAGCCGAGTGGAACCGTAATTCAGATGAAAGGCAAAGTTCCCGCTAATTTTCCCATCAATTCTTCGGGGAAAGGCTGGTCGAACGGATCATTTGTCAACGACATTACCACTACGACGAACATGGAATGGTTTCGAATCCTCAAACTGTTTCTTTACACGACTATTTTTATGATCAGCGCAACAGGAAACTCATTAGTCTGTGTGATCATCCTTCGACGCAAGAAAATGAAAACAGTAACTAACTACTTTATTCTGAACTTGGCCATCGCTGACTTGGCCTTGACGTGTATTTGTATTCCATTCGACATTCCTGTTCAGGAGATGGACTACGCGTGGCCTTATGGGGCTTTTATGTGCAAGTTTCTCTATCCCTTACAAACATTGACTCTCTTTGCATCGATATACACCTTGACAGCGGTCAGTTTGACGCGATATTGGGCTATCGTTCATCCACTCAGAGTTCAACTTAGTATTGCCAAGACGAAAGTGGTGATAGTTATAATATGGATCGGGTCACTTGTTCCTATTGTGCCATACATGAACTCATTGAATCTGAAAAACAATTCTTGTGAAGAACTATGGAAAAGTAGCGACATTAGATCTATCTATACCGTATGTCTTTTCGTGTTCCAGTACATTCTACCGCTCATGATCATTGCAACTGCATACACAGGCATTGCAGGTGAAATGCGAAGGCGTGACAACAGCTACGATAACTGTCCGATGCGACAAATGCAAGTCCGAGAGACGAGAAAAGTCGTCAAAATGTTGTTAGTCGTGACTATTTGCTTCGCACTTTGTGTTTTGCCCAACAATATCATGTGGCTCTGGCTAGATTTCGGACAAGCAGATCAACACATCTCGTACTTTTGGGAGCTCTTAGCCTTTTGTAATATCATAACATTTGCGAATAGCGCGGCAAATCCTATCTGTTACACCGCGTTGAATGACAATTATCGACGAGAATTCAAGCGGTATTTAATAATCATGTTCTGTAAGAAGAAAAGTACAATCCTCCTACGTCGTCTTAGTACGATGACTACCTCAGTGCGCAAGTCAATGAATAAGTCCTCTAAGGAGGAGTACTTTGGTGTGCAGCTCGATAAGGTTCCTCCTCGTCTTGTGGGGGTTACAGTCTAGAGGGACAATATGTTGCGGGACTGAAGAGTTACAGATTAATAAGGTTCCTCCTCGTTTTGTGGGGGTTACAGTCTATAGGGACAATATGTTACGCGACTGAAGAGGTACAGATTAATAAGGTTCCTCCTCGTCTTGTGGGGGATACAGTCTGTAGGGACAATATATTTTGCGCGACTGAAGAGTTTCAGATTAATAAGGTTTTCCTCCTCGTCTTGTGGGGCTACAGTCTCGCGTGACATTATGTCGCGTGACAAATCACTGTACGGGACTGTTGAGGAACAACAGAGACCTCCAGCACGACGTTCTTACTAGCCCCGCAAACCTCAAACTGCAGGGTTGTGTGAGTGTTGTGTAAATCCTTCGAACAAAAATATCGCGCAACCTCTCTTTCAGGAAAGAAATATCGAGCAACCCCCCAAATGCATTCAGGGGTTGCTACGAAAAAATAAATACCGTGCAACCTAAATTCCTGCAACCACCCCCTCGATTATCTAATAGTCTATCCCTTAGGTGTGTAGGTGGATATATCCAACTCGCACATTCATACTGACGTCCTCAAACTTTACGTTACGTTCTTATGAATAAAATATTTGATTTTCTGAGTCGTTCATTTGTTATTAGTGGACACGTTTATCAATCAAAAAATGAAACTAGAAAAAATCCAGGTTCTTCGGGTTTTGGTTAATGCCGTCCTTTTTAATGCATGACGGTCTTTTACTACAATACCATTCATTCTCGTACCCAGACCCTTCTCGTTTCTAGAAAAGAAGTACGACCCCCAGTTTGATTGTCGTTCGCCGACTAGCATTTTAACGACAGTTCCGTTCAATGACCACGAATAATAGTTCCAAGCAGAGGTTGGGGTTCTCTCGCAAGACAAGAAGTAAAT